ACGATAGTTTTGAGTTATCATATACATTTCTACCACTCTTTGTGCCCGCTATTAATATATAGAATAGAACTATTGGTAGTGTTGAATTCTGGGTCGGCTCTTTGGAGTAAAAAGACGCAATTCCGGAGCAAGCAGGCGATGCAATGGTGCCGGAAAAAATGGCACGTGTCCAGAGTTTGAGCGTGCAGGGGTCTTGTTTTTGGCTGGCTGAGGTTTGTTCAGTGGTTGTTCTCGGTGCCACAGTACGCTGCAGCTGAGCCATTGGATCAGCAGTCGACACAGGGCCCGCGGGACCCCGCCTTGTGTTGGCACATGTTCGAGTGCGGTGGCATCTCGTCCTTGTCAGAAGCGTTCCCGCATGTTTTATGCCTAGCATGGATGCATCCGCAGGAAGCGCTCTTGTTTGTTGGAGCCGAGGCCCTTGTGTCGAGTGGCTCTGGAACCGTTGGCAGGCTGCCGCAACACTGGCCGCCACTGACCACTGATCATGATGATCGTGTCTATAGTGGATCAAGTCTCTGGTCAATTGCTAATGCAACATGGTCAGTTGCATCCAGTCGCTCTAAGTCGACATCAAAGTGGTCCCGTTGCCAGCGGCAGTGCCATGCAGTGCCATGCAGAACTGCCTTACAGAGATCTCTTCCAAAGACAAAGTTCCACAGTCTACAGTCTCAAGGGTACTGTCCTTCGAAGTCTTTCCAGGAAGTACCGCTAAGCCTCAACGAAGCTAGAAATTTCCGCTTCGGAGAGTCTTATGACGTGGACGGTTTGAACTGCAAACAGGCCATTCCCAGCACTCAGCCTCGTGCGCGGCGTGCTGGGAGCGAAGGCTCGCGAAAGGCCACTCCGCTTCTGTCAGGATTTGACATGCACAGTTCTCGACCAATGTGAATTGCTGCTTCTTATCACCTCCATCATGAACACCGATCCGGCGAGTGGATGGAGTTCTGCTGCAATAGACGTCGTTGAATGAGAAGGTTGCATGAGTGTCTACATGGAGTTTGCCAACTCGCGGGCCTTGAAGAATTATGGTAAAACATCGAGAAGGATCCTGGGGGGTTCAGCCCTCCTATGCGAGAATGGGCTTTAGACGGTCCAGAAAAGATGAGAATCATAGACCATGTCATGCACAGTGTGGACTCTGAATATGTTATAATATGTTAACCTACGCTGAGTGAGTATGTTGACCTCGTGTTGGAACCCCCACGGTTGATTCCATGGGGCTCGTCGGCGTTGTGTTCCTGTCGGAGACTGGAAAGTCAAGAGCTTCATTAGCCCGAAAACTCCAGGTTTGTGCAGGGCTCAGTTATGTGGGAAGCTGCTTTGCAGAAAATTCCGATGGCCCTCAGGCCACCCTCTCCATCGTGCCAGACTATGCTCCCGCGGAGCAGGCCTGGGCGCGCATAAAGGGCTGCCTCTGAAGGGCCACGTGCGGAACAACCAACTTCTAGACCTTCCGGATTTTTCTTGTAGCGCCGCTTTTATTCCCCCTCAGTACTAGTAGTTCTGCCGCTGCCAGAAGCCGTTGCGAGCGCTGCCCCGTTACAGGGACCGACACGAGACTACTCAAAGCCGCCATCCACTCAGACTGCAGACGAAGTGGACAGACACGGAGTCAGTGTGCGCAAATGGTGCTGGCAACAACAAACATCCACATCTAGCAACTGCAAGGACAAGCTTCGTGCGAGACGACTCAGACGAGCTTGATGGCGCAGACGCGTGGAGGTGCTTCATCCGGAAATCGAGAGCCTTCCACGCGGTCACCGAGCATGTGACATAAAGGCTTGTCATCCAACATCTTATTTGCCCGGCATTCTCGACAATTCACAAGCGTTAGGTACGCCTTTGTGACTGAGAAGCAGGTCGAGAACAACAACCGTGCCAACAGCAGCAGCCAGTGCAAATGTTGTGAGTCTCTTCGATTTTGCAAGAAGCATAAACAGCCGTGCAAGAAACATGTGACGTCATTCCGATCGGAGTTGCCGTCTGTAGTGCTGGCCCACGGGGGTGGGGGGAGTGGGTGGGTTCGGCAGGATCTTGTTTTGATATTTGTTGACCTGCCCTGATATTGCCGGAGTCCGTATGACCTTTGTCACCAGCAGTCTTGGCATGTAGAAGAGTCGAGATGACTACTATCGCCGAGCAATTGCCAGAGTTCTTAAGCTGCCTGGATTCTTCCGAACATCGCTGAACATTAGCATTAAGCACCTTATGCAACCCTCGCAGCTTCGACGATTCGCTAAGCCATGCACAAGTATGCATGCCCGAATGACTTCTCAATCAAAGCCTGGCTGCCCTAGCGTTGGCCTTGACTCAGGCATCATTTGCAAAGAGTTCCCTCCAGCAAGCTTGGAAGACAAGCACAGCAAGTCCAATGCCAGCAAGGGCGGGATTCTTAGTGTGAGTGGTCGGAGCATGTGCTGCCCATTGCCATGTCAAACTATGTGGAAGGTGTTGTGGTCAGACACTTTTGATACTTAAACATGTTCTCACTAAGAACCTTTGCGCTGTCTCCTAACTTGCATTGTCTCGGACAGATTTAGTCGTGGCAACTGCCTTGCTTAGAGAAACAGAGCACGGAGGAGATGTGCTGAAGTTCAGCGACGATACCCGCACCATCCTCTGGCGAGCGGAGGAGGAAGGCATGCGAGCGACGGCGCACGCACAGACTCACAGCTCTGCCTAATCAGACTGACTGGCAAACATCAACGGCCATGTCAACAGACTGTCAGGCTTGCGCTCCCGATCCCCGAGCAAGACCACTGATCCGGAAAGCCTGGCGCTCGGTGCTTATGTGCCAACGACCACTGTTTCCCAACACAAATCGCGAGCTCAATGTGGTTTGTATGGCTCTTCGGGGCTGTCATGGGCTGTCATATGCCCTATTGGCCAAGCAAAAAGTCAGCTTTGACTTTCAGCTCGTGCTCTCAAGAGGGCTTGTCTGTCAGGCGATTGTTGCTTCAAACTCTGTTTGTGGCCAGCTTGTCCATCCCGGCTTTTCTTGCATTCTTCATATCATCGGACGATCGTCATGGAGGCTGAGTGAGCCTGAGGTGTCCGGTCGCCTCTCAACCAGTCTGATGCATCTTGGCAACAATCGGCGCCACATTTCTTGTTTTTTGCAGAAGGGCAGCGATCTTAAGGGCTGTGTCACCGGCACAGAACTGGGACGTCAGCTGTGGGAGAGAGCAGCAGATGTAGGTTTCTTCATGCGATATGACAAATAGATGCAATTGGAGTGCACACTCTTGACATGAACTCTGTTCAGCAGATAGATGACTGGGCTTCTCCAGTTCCATTCTCAAGAGCCGCCCCCGCAGAACACCGAGCGTGAGCATGGAATTGCGTGAACTCAGGGTTTCCGGACTCCACAAGCACTACGAATCCCTGAATGAACCTCCGAATGTTCCCAGGGATCCTGGGACGACGACTGGGACAATGCCGCCTGGGACGATGCCTGGGACGATGCCTGGGACGATGCAGCTTGGGACGATGCAGACTGGCTCGAAGCCAAGAAAGCGGATCCGGCGGATGTGCTCGCCAGGTCAGAGACTCTTGAGGACTGCCGGGATTGTTCTTCCTTGGAGCCCTGTATCTCCAAGGTCCTGGTGGTGGGAAGAGCTGCAGCAAATAGATGAGGAGCTGGAGCGCGTGCAGAAGAAGCTCGAAGCCCGGCGTTCGTGGCACGAGCTCAGCTTACTCAATTCGAGCAACTGCCAGGGATAAGGAGCAAAACGAGGAACATTGCATTAATCTGCTATGAACGCCCGAATGGCAGGTTTGCGGGCGTAAGCCGGAGGGACCAGAATTCACTTGCAGTGAAACTGGAGTGGATCTCGGGCAGGAACGGTTAAAGGATTTGGCTGAACAACAAGATCTTGCAACAAACTCCAGGTGCAGTTACAAGCCTTGGAAAGAACGCAGCAAAGGACAAGCAATGCAGCAGAAAATATTCCTCGTTAAGTTGCAATCTCGGGGCCTCCACGTCACCGGGAGCTCGGGCGCGTCACTCGCGGAACAGCTTGTGTTTCATAATGCTCCAAGGTGGGAGGAGCGCAGTCGCAAGCATGGTGCCAAGAGCGTTCGAGTAGGAGGGAAGATGCCGCAGTCTTGGCAAGCCTTCCTGTTTAGGAGGCAAGGAGTGTCGACTTCAGTGCGCACTCCAAGGTGGGACGAGATGAGAAGCAAGCTCGGTACCAAGAGTGCGAGAATGGCAGAGAGGACTAAAGCAGCTTATTCCGCTCATAGTGCACTCTGAAGGCATCGCGGAGCGTGTGTGTTCTGCTGAACGACGTAGCACATCGGCAGGAAGGAATGCATACTCCCACCGGCTCTTCAATACCTGATTGATTTTTTCGCGATGGAGTTCTTGGAGAGCCTTGATTGGTGGCAAGTGTGCTACGACTGCTAGGATCAGTGTCGTGTTAAAAGAATCTGCTGTAAGCAGTTGGCCCCCAACTGAAGTAACTGAAGTGCCTTAACCCAACCCAGGTGGAACGCGTCACATGCGTCTCGCAAGCTCGGTGCCAAGAGCGACAGAACCGTTAAACCCTCAAAAGGGGACCGGTTGAGGTGGATGGCCTAAAGCCTTAAAGGTCTTAAGCCCTAAACAGCCCTAAGCCTTAAAAGTGATAGGCACGCAAACCGCAGAAGTCTGAGGCAGCAAAGTGTCGGGCGAAAACCTAGGGTTCTGGGCGTGGTCTAGGGTGAGATGGATGTGTTATGTGTCCCTACCCCTCCACAGGCAGCGTCCCTCCAGTACCAAACTGCTGCCGCATCCGCGTTGCGACGCCATATCATCTTTCGAAGCTACTACCAGTACTCGAAGACACGCACATCATACGGAATCATACGTGAAATGCTTGTACTTCCAGCAGCAAACCGTCATTGTCTTTGCTGCTGAGGTGCAGCGCCGGTCCTCCAAGCAAGGTTGATGCCTCAGCTGTTGCAGGTCCTCTTTCTGCAATGCTTCTGATGTAATGCCACGTGCTCGGGCAAGTTGCTTGAAATGGGGTCGTCGATGGAATTCCAAAGTACTATTTCCGTCGAGCCCCCCTGCACTGCAGACTCCTCCTCCTCCTCCTCCACATCTGACGAGACACTTTGACGCGCTGAAGCTGCCCCAGTCTCAGTATCGCTGCTGTTGCGACTGTAGCATCAGACCGTGGGATACATTGCAGCTTCTACACTGCTGCATGTCAGGCCGATCACGGCAACGCTGGGTGACGTTCGGAAGGCCACGTGGGTTTGCGGTGGGATAGTGAGATATATATATATATGTATATATATACATACATATATGGTTGATGCTTTGTGAAGCGCCTCTTGTGCCCTAGCATCTGTAGCAGACATGTTCAACACATCATGTCAAGTGGCGAGTGTTGTCGGGATCCATCAGCATCCCTTTCTCAGACGCGATCACCCAGATGTGAGCGTAGATCTAAAGGTTCTGGGAGATGTCAGAATGAGAGGGACCTTCAGGACAGGAAGGCATGCCGTCGCAAAGGTTCAGAGCGAAAGGACGTTTTGGTCCGCGACAGTTCTTGCGTAACCCAGCGCTTCTTAGGTTTGCGCTAGAGTGCCTGGATGTGCTCGTGTTTTGCTTCGGTCTTTTTGTCACAGGGGACAGAATCTCAAAATATCCTTTTTCAGTTTCCTGTCGTGACGTTTCTTTCAGGAACACGTCCACGTGCTAACTTACTATGTCAGGTAAGTTAGAGAGCGATAGGGAGGCAAGGGCTCGCTGTAGTTGTGGGCATGTTTCGGTGCAAGGCATGCACCCTTGAAGCCAAGATCTCAAACCGTCCCAGATCCACTAAACCTATGGAATGGCTAGGTCTCCGCGCCGTTCTTGTGAAGGGGAGGTGCATTATGTCTTTCGGGAGGTGTTCTCTGGGATTTGTTCCTCCCCTTGCTGTCAAAGCTTTTAGAATGTGACGTCTGAGCAAACAGGCCCAACCAGGTGATGCACGGGGGGCTGATACTGCCCAGATATGCGAAGCATGTGCGGCGAAGGGTCCGCATATGTACGTTTTGCGAAAGTCTTTTTGTTCACATGAAGAAGGATTTTTTGCGATGAAGGCAGCGCGGGCCTTGTGTCAGCGGAAGCTATCTACCTCCGAATGGGTGCCCGGACAAATGCTCGCATCGCCGCATCGTCGGCAAGACCTGCGCATGCAACACTAGATTGCCAAGTGCATGACGGGCAAAATGTAGGACAGAAAACTGCCGCATCGGCTTGGCATCAGCGGCACACCCTGCCATACCCTGCACAGGCCTATCGGAAGTTGGCTTTGGAGTGCCATCCAGTGCCTGGTCTGCAAATCCTCGATCGTTTGCTCTTTGGTGTCGCTAGCATTTTTCGCTTTTTCGAGTCGCGTCTTAAGTCTATCCCATACCCGTGCTAGACCCAAGAGCCAGCGACCACAACCCTCAACTTGAAAGACGTGGATCAAGCTTGCCAGGAGGCAAAAGGAAGGCATCGGGTGAGGTAATGAATGATGCACCTTTTTGTTTGGTGAGGACAAGAACATGGAGAAAGTCCCTAGCTCAGCCGTTGGACAGTCTGCTCGGGACTTTCCCAAAAAGTTAGTAGAGGTCATAATGGGACCTTAACGGGAAGCCCCGCAAACTGGAAGCTCCTCCATGCCGCCCTGCTTCTGCAAAGTCTGGACAGATTTGGCCTTCAGATGTCGCCCTGCAGGAAGAGGCCCTGAGAGTTTCTGAGCGCTCAGGCCAAGGAGATGACCACAGTCTTCCGCCAGGTGAAAGAAGCCTATGAGGCTTCGGGCGCAACAAGGTTCTTAGCGTTTCACGGCACCTGGGATTCACTCTCTCTCTCTCTCTCTTCCCCTCTTTTCCCGAAAGCTTCAGTGAAGGAATCATGGGACCGGGACTGTGGCCCATCGAAAACACCGCAAAAATTGTGGGACCGGGGCTGTGGCACCTTGGAAACACCATCAACATCCGTGGGACCGGGACTGCGGCTACACCGCACCAAGCCCACGCTACCGACGCCATACCAACTTCTATAGCCTACTATACACTGCGCCACGATCACCGCACTTGCAACACCGCCTGATACGCGTCTCGGAAGAACTTCGCACTGATTGCTTTTGGGATAACCGGTGTCTCGTCTTTGTCTCTCTCCCTCTCTCCTCCCTCTCTCTCTCTCTCCCCCTCTTTTTCTTTCTCTGTCTCTCTCTCTCTCTCTCTCTCTCTCTCTCTTTCCGCATACATATATATACATACCTATATATGTATATATATATATATAGGTGGTCAGCCCCCCCCCCCCCATGATCCACACCTATGGTTTTCCTGTCTTCGTCTTTGTCTGATTTTCTGCTTTTTCCTCGGAAAAATGCAGTAAAAACTGCACTGGAATACAAAAAGCTCTATTATATTATCCTCTATAAAAACACCAGTGTTTTTTATGTGCATTTTGCTTCTGAAACTTGTGTCTTGCGGCTCCATAATATTTGAGAACGGTAGCCATTA